TTGGTGCTTTTCGATTTTATATTTTGATAATTAACTATTATCATTTTTTTTGTTTTTTTTAAGATCTGCAGAGCTTGAAGCTTTGCAATGAACTGACACAAATTAGTATAAATACCTTGTTTTTATACTTTTTCACTTTAGTATTAAAAAAATATTTCAAAGAGAATATAAGCATGCCTGTCAAGAGAAAATCAATCAGTTGTAAAAAACCTGTCAAACGTGGCAGAGGTATTTTGAATAAAATTATAAACAATTTACCCTTTGAATTACACATTCCTGGCTACCAATATTGCGGCCCAGGGACAAAAGTAGCAAAAAGAGTAGAAAGAGGCGATCCAGGAATTAACCCTCTTGACGCAGCGTGTAAAGAACACGATATTTCTTACTCGAAAAATAGGGAAAATATTGAAGCGCGAAACGCTGCAGATAAAGTTCTTGAACAAAAAGCTTGGCAACGTGTATTTGCAAAAGACGCTCCTATTGGTGAAAAGCTTGCTGCTTATGGAATAACCAACACAATGAAAGTAAAATCAAAATTTGGAATGGGAATGAAAACAAAGAAAAACATGAAAAAAAAGCGAAAAAATAGAAAGAAAAAATCAACATTGCGAAAAATTATAACGGCTGCTAAAGCATCAATGAAAGTAGGTAAAAATGTACCATCAACTATTAAATCGGCTCTTCATGGTGCACGTAAAGCTGTAAAAGAAGCCGGCGGCAAGCGTAATATAAATAAGCCTCGAGTTTTACCAATGCCATCTAAAGTCGGCGGTGTTTTACCGTTTCTACTTCCCTTGTTTGCGGGTTTAAGTGCTACAGGAGCTCTGGCCGGAGGGGCAGCTGGCATAGCCAAAGCTGTGAATGACGCAAAAGCTGCTAAGCGTCAACTAGAAGAAAGTAAACGACATAATACGACGATGGAATCTATTGCTTTAGGAAAGGGACTTTATTTAAAACCATACAATACTGGACTAGGACTTTATTTGAAGCCGTACAAAACAGGACATGGATGCAAGTCAAAAAACTTAAAGTGAAACTACCTCACCGAGCCCTTACAGATTTAGATTTACTGAAATTTTCAAAATGTTTAAAAATTCCATTTTTTCGAGGAGTTTTTATGCGAAATGAGCTCCCTGTACTTGGCCCTAATGAAAATGAATCCGCAATAATAAATCTTGATGATAATAATGGTCCTGGTACACATTGGTGTGCTTATAAGAAAAATAAAAATAAAATTATTTATTTTGACAGCTTCGGTAATCTTCGACCACCTTTAGATCTTATAAAATATTTCGGTGTTGGTAGTATAATGTATAATCCTAACAAATATCAAAATTATGACTCATATATATGCGGTCATTTGTGTCTTAAATTTTTATGTAATCAGTTGAATTTTCCTGATATGTATTCTATACATATAAAAGACAAATAATTTAAATTTTCAAATCAGTAAATATTTAGAAGTCATCATGGACGAATCGCTTATTTTAACGCTATCTGGAAATTCTTCCATCTTAGAATCTCAATTTTTCCCACCTATAGAGCTATCTCCCTTTAAAAATTATGCTCTTGGTCTTGTTGAATTTTTGACATTTAATTCAATTCCAAATGTAGATGAGGGAAAAAATAAATTTTATGTAGATAATGAAGTTATCACTATACCCACAGGAAGTTATGAAATTAATGATATTGATCATGTTTTGAATTTTATTTTGAAAAATAAAGGAATAAATTTTAGAGTCAAACCCAATAATAATACATTAAAGTGTACAATTTATTGTGATAAAGAAATTAATTTCGAACACAATGATTCTATTGGTAGCTTGCTTGGTTTTTCACCGCGAAAATTAAAAGCTAAAGAATACCATGAATCTGATCAACCAGTTTCAATTATTAAAATAAATTCACTAAGAGTAGAGTGTAACATAACTACAGGGGCATATATTAATGGGAAAAAAGTGCATACAATCCATGAATTTTTTCCTATTGTACCACCAGGATATAAAATAGTGGAAGTGCCAAATCACGTCATTTACTTGCCAGTCGCTGTAAAGACAATAGATCATATTCAGCTGAAAATTGTTGATCAAGATGGAAACTTAGTTAATTTTCGAGGAGAGACAATAACAATTAGACTTCACGTCAAGTCTTTAAAATAATGGGCATTGTATTTTATAGTAAAAATAAAATTGGTTATGGTTATAAAAATAAAACACCATGCCAAAAACAAATCAGTCAACTGCGAATCCTGAAAAGGTTAACACCTCAGAACCTGAAGCTGCTCAAAAGTCTCGGTCTCAAAATCGTAAAAAAAAGAGGATAAAAAGATTTAAATTTTTTTGTAATTGTGTAAGTTTATTTGTTTTTAAACGAATATTTTTTTGCTATGGAGGGGGAAATTTTAAATATTGATTCACCAATTATTTTTGATGAATCAATTGCTCATTATGAGGTGCATGCGCAGCAGCCGTATACCTCATCAACGTACAATAACAGTGACGAAATCCGCATCACTGTACAAAATCAAGATCACTGTCTACTCCCGTGTAAAAGTTCCATACGTGTGAGTGGTAAACTCGTAAAAGCAGACGGAACTGCTGTTGCAAATACAAGCATAGTTTCTAATGGAATTTGTCATTTATTCGAAGAAGCAAAATATGAACTTAATGGCATTGAAATTGATAAAAATAAAAATGTCGGCCTTACAAGTTTAATGAAAAATTATATTTCTCTTGATGCAAGTCAAAGTAAATTTCTTGAAAATGTTGGCTGGTTGGAATTTGGTAATCAACCAACATTAACTAATGCTGACGGTTATTTTGATGTTTGTATACCATTGAATATGATTTTTGGGTTTGCCGAAGATTATCAAAAAGTGATTATAAATGCAAAACATGAGCTTATTCTTACGAGATCAAGAACAGATGCAAATGCGGTTTTACAAGTAGCACCACTTGAAGAATTTAAATTTGTAATTGAAAAAGTAGAATGGCTATTGCCGTATATAAAATTATCAGATGCTCGAAAGTTTAAATTATTAAAGTATATTGAAAGAGATCCATCTATTCCAATAAGTTTTCGAACTTGGGAATTGTATGAATATCCTTTATTACCTGTCACTCCTAAACATATTTGGAGTGTAAAAACATCGTCACAATTGGAAAAACCTAGATTTATTGTTTTAGGATTTCAGAGAAATAGGAAAAATAATACAGTTCAAAATTCCAGTCATTTCGATCATTGTAAAATTGCTGACGTAAAATTATTTTTAAATTCCCAATGTTATCCATATGGAAATATGAATCTTAATATTGATAAAAATCAGTACTCTACTTTATATGAAATGTTTACAAATTTTCAATCTGCATATTATAGTAAAGAATCACAACCAATTTTAACAAAAAAAGAATTTATACAATTTGCACCCTTAATTATTATTGATTGTTCGAAGCAAAATGAATCATTAAAAAGTGGACCAGTTGATATTCGCTTAGAATTTGAATCAAAAGAAAATTTTCCTGCAAATACTTCAGCTTATTGTTTAATTCTACATGATAGAATTGTTGAATATAAACCAATAAGTGGAATTGTAAAAAAAATAGTGTAAATTTTAAATTTATAAATATTATTATTATTATTATTATTATTATTATTATTATTATTATTATTATTATTATTATTATTATTATCATTATTATCATTATTAACAATTAATAACAATTATTTATTAAAAATTATAAAAATAATAATAATAAATAATAATAACAACAATAATAATTAAAAAAACAACTTTTCAATTTAATGGTGATTCGTTTGAAGAAAAAAAAAAGGGGGGATTTTATTTATGTCACTGCAACGTGCTCGACCTTGTGAGAAATTTGTCCCAGGTCAGTTATAAGATTTCATTCAATGGAAACGTCTCCTATTACATTGACACACGTCGAAGCAAGTGGACCAGCTGTGTAGAAAAACTCCTCTCTCTTACGCATCGCTTTGCTATATTTTACTCTCTATAGTTTTAAGTGCATTGAAAAAAAAAATGAAGTATTTAATAGATATGCAAGGATTTAAATTACCATTTAATGAATTTATTTTAAAAGAATTAGCTGTAGTTTCCGTAAATGATGATGTGATGCCATTTAATATAGTATTTCAAGCCCCGTGTTCATGGGATTGTATCTCAGACAAGTATAAATGTGTTAATCATTGGTTAGAGAAAAATTTTCATGGTATTTCTTGGAATGACGGTGATATACCATATTCTTTTATGAATGATATATTGAGTAGAATATTCAAAGAAGCAAAAATAATTTATGTTAAAGGTTCAGAAAAAAAGAAATGGTTAAAAAATTTCATTGATGAAAATTGTTGTAAAATTATCGACATGAATGATTTGAATTGTCCATCAATTAAAAGACTTAGAGATCAAACATTGACAAAAGCTTGTATAAAACATTCAGTGCAAAAAAAAAAATTTATTTGCGCCCTTCAAAATGTCATGAATTTAAAAAATTGGTTATGTAATAATTGTTTCAAATAAATTTAAATGTTTTATATATTTAAGCGTATTTTTTACAACATGAAATATCCTTCTAATTTGTAAACTTTATTAATTATTTTTATGTTTTTCATTTCAATTTTTATAATTATAAAAACGTAAACAAAATGACAGGGATACAAAATAAATTAACAACAAATTTTATAAAAGTGGTATTTTTATTTAATTATAATGTATATTTAATACAGTTTTTTTAGATTTAAATGTTTTTAGTGTTCTTAAATTTATTAAAAATATTATTTTAATTAAAATTAAATTTGTTCAAAAATTGTTAAAATTAATACGAAAATTAAAAAAATCTTTTGAAGAATTTAATTTAATTTTAAATAAATAATTATTGAAGACGTTACAAATATTTAAAAAAAAAATGTTGAAATAATACATTCTTAAAATTATTAATTTGATTAATAATCAAAAATGATTTTAAAAAAATGAGTGAAAATGAAACGAATATAAAAAGACCTTTTTTTAAAAAAAACTTTTTATCATTCTGTCATTTGTTCGTCTTGCTGTTCTTCCGGCTCAATTTTAACAACAGCATTCAGAGGGTCAATATAGGGAACAACATCGCCTTCCACTACCTGCTCCCCCTTTTGTGCCTCAACTTGCTCCTCCTGCTGTTTTACTAAAATTTGTTTCACTGCCCTTAAAACCTCGTCTTCTTCTTCTTCTTCTTCTTCTTCTTCTTCTTCTTCTTCTTCTTCTTCTTCTTCTTCTTCTTCTTCTTCTTCTTCTTCTTCTTCTTCTTCTTCTTTTTCTTCTTCTTTTTCTCCTTCTTCTTGAGTTGGTTTGTGGAAAGTTATTTCCATTTGCGAATGAGTTTCAGTGTCCGATTCTTCGACTTCTTCAGGCTTATCATAAATATTGATTTCCTGTGCGTTGATGATATCGAAATCAAATCCATCACCACATAGATTTGGAATGTCAGGTCTTCGCTCTAGGAGGAACTTGCATTCCCCCACCTCCTTAATTTCCACGACAATCCCCAAGTGCTCCAAGAAGTACTCATCCGAATCAAATGATACGTTTCCAAAAAGACCATAGCGTCTCACTCCCGCCGCTAACACGATAAAATCGGTTAATCTCTGCAGATCGATGCAGTTATCAACCCATTCTTTAGGTACTTGGAAATATATTTTAAATCCAGTATAGTTTTCTTCATTCTGTAAAAAAAAAAAAACATTTATATAGTTTATTTTTTAAAAAATTAAATTAAATAGTAAAGAGGATAAACTTCTTTTAATTGAAAAAATTTTAACACTAAAATTACAAAATGGTAGAAATATAACCATTAAAAATTTAATAAAGTAAAAATTAAATTCTAAAAATTGTAATTGATAAATAAATAAAAAATAGTTAAATATTAATAAATTAAATTAAAACTTTAAAAACATAATCGATATTATTAAAAAGTAATTTAAAACTAATTTAAAAAGCCGAATATTTTTGCATCAAAAATTTAATAAATTAATTACTAAACAATTCTTGTTGTTATTATAATTTTATAAAAATATAGACATTAATAAATTAGGTTAAAAAAAATTAAACAAATAAAAAATTATAAGTTTAAAAAAATATAATTCTTAAAATGTTGATATATGAAAAAAAAAAAATTTAATTTAAAAAAATAAATAATATTACAAAAAAAAGTTCAGAAATATTAACATTAAAAAATTTAATAAAGAAAAAATTTAATTCTAAAAAGTTGTTATTGATGAATAATTAAAAAGTAGTTAAATATGAGTAAATTAAATTATAAACTTTAAAAATATTTAAAAAGGTGTAAACTTTTAAAAAAGAATTTATTGATAATATTATAAAAATTAAATAATTTAGAAACAAAAATTACTTACCAAGATTTCAGAAAATGGTAGATCCACTCTCCGGATCCAGTATCCGCTAACCATTCCGTGCACCTTTGCACGGACCCCACCATAGTTGAGGATGACAGGTGCGTAAGGGTTCACTGCGCCGTTAAAAATATCTCTGGACCGCATTGACAGTCCAGTTAAACACATCTCAATAAACGAGTTGACATTACTTTCTTCTAGCCATTTCCTTGGCGCTTGGACAATCACTACCATAGTTGCGTACCCGCTCATTTTTTTTTTTCTTGCTTTCCTTAACAATAAAAAAATAACAAATTTTAATAAATAAAAGTTTTTTTTTTTAAAAAATCCATAATAAAACTAAACATCTTTTAAAAAACAATAAAAAAGAGTTATTAAAATATTAAAATTATAAAACTAATTTTAAAAAATTAAAAAAAATAAATGTTTCAAAAAAACTTTTATTCACATAAAAATTTTAAAAAACTAATTCAAAAATTTAAAAAAATTTCATAATCTTTAATAAATTAAATGAAAAATATTTTAAAAAGTCAAATAAAAAACAATAATCTTTTATAAAAGCAACAAATCAAAAGAAAATATAAATTGAGGAAAAAAGTTTAATGTAAATTAAAAAAAAATCAGTTAATTGTTAAAAGTTCAAATAAAATAAAAATTTAAATTGTTATTTTAATTTCAAAAAATAAAATTAAAATTGTTATTTTAATTTCAAAAATAAAAAAAATTTGTTATTTTAATTTCAAAAATAAAAAAATGTTGTTATTTTAATTTTTTAAAAAGTGAAAAAATTTATTTAGTTTTTTTTAAAATTAATTGAAAACTTTTCAAATATTTAAATAAATTTGAATTATTTCACTCACTTTCTTTTCACTAAAAATTCACAAAATCACTGCACTGCTTTTGACGAGACGTGTCAAACTTCAATAAAAGAGATCACTTTTTCTAATGAGTCCTCTATATGGAGCCGGCCACTTTTTATACCCGGCCCGAATGTTTAGAAAATGAGGAACAGAGACATAAACATATGTTGAAAGGAGAGAGAAAAGTCTGATAACACACAAAGGGCTTTGCCAAAAGCATGGTGACTAATAAGATGAAGAGTGAGAGCATGAGAAATTCATATAGAGAGAAAGAGAAAGGTTATTAGAATATATATATATAACTTTTAATTCTCTTTATTGAAATTACTGATTTTTTCCCATTAATTATTTAACTAATTTTTTGTACCCCCAAGGAAGCGTATCTGTATTTTTCGGTAAAAGTACTCTTTTATCGTCAAACCAACTTAAAGCTTCTTTTTTTTGTTTTACAGTGTAAACTTGATGTTTTTCACTGCGAATTGAATATTGATTTTTAACTAGATTTTCATTGGAAAAAAGTGTTTTTTTATAGTCGTCAAATGTAATTTCTTTTAAAGCTGAAGACCTGACGCCTTTAGCTTTTTTTTCTCACGATTTTCGTTTAATATTTTATATGAATATAATTTTGATCTCAAGCCGATAAACTCGGTGACAATTTTTCCGTTGCATTCATCTTTCATTAAACCGAGCACTTTATTATTTTTTAATTGTATACCATAGCAGTTATTTTCTGGATAATCGGAAGTATCGAAATAATCGGAATCTCGTTTAATATAATCATAGATGTTTGGAATTTTAATATGATAAATTAAACTATCAGTATCTGTGTACAATAATTTAGATTTATCAGTGAAATTTTTTTTAATATAATTATAGTGAAAATCGTAAAGAAAGAGTTTCGATATATCAAGAATGCTAAATCCCACGTAAATCGGTTTATTAAATGTAATTTTAACTTTATTCATCTCTATTATAACTAAATTCTTTTCTAAAATATAACAACTGTTGAAATTCGGTTTACTAATAAGAGCTTTGGCACCATATCTACCTTCCCATTTTGTAACAATACGAATATCTTTATGGTTTCTTATATTTTCCATTGTTTTCCCAAAAACAGAATTATTCATTAACTTGTAAAAATTCTTTTCAAATATATTTGTAGACTTTTTTCGGAATTCTGTATTTAAATCAATATACTTTTTTAGCCATTGAGATTGTTTAAATTTTAATATTCTATGAATTTTCGTTAATTTCATTCCAAGTTTTAAATAATATTTTAAATTTCTATAATGAATTACATATTTTGTTCTGGAAAATAAATGTGGTATCAATTTAGGTAACTTGCTGTCTGGAGAGGGGGGAATAAAATGTTCTGGGCATAAGGGCAAATCTTTATGCAAATCATGTAATTCTGCAGGATATTCTAAATCTACTTCTAAAATATATCCAAAAGAAGAATCGTCATCAATTTTATCCACATCAAATCCTAATAAATTGGTCTCCCATTGAAAATCAGAATAGGGTAAAAAATGACTCATTGCTGTGCCATACAAATTATTTATATCAAAATACATTATATAAGACTCTTCAATTTCTGAATTAAATTCTGTCCCCATAAAACGATTGTTTGCTTTCGCGTACCTATTTGAGCATTGAGAAATTCCTCCGCGAATACCTTTTTCTATGAAAAGTAACATGTCAATATCTCGCAATAACTCTAGTTTTATTTTCGTGTATTTTAACATAGCATCGAATGCGAGTCCTGGTGCAGTAAAATAGTGTAAGGGATCTAAATTATATGCTGACAAACATGTTTTTCGAAAATTTTCAAAAATGTCGGCTAAAAGTAAAACATCTGTTTTTAAATATAAATCAGAATATTCCCCCAAATTATTTAAATTAAATGTATTCCACACTTGGCAAGCATGCTCATAATCTTCATTTGATATGTTTGAATTATTCAATTTCGAAAAAAATGCTTCTATAGGCGGCAATTTATTTTCCTCTAATTTTTGCCAACTATCAATGTATTCGTACGGAAAAACCCCTTTTCTGACCAGTAAATTAAATTCATCAATATTACTGCAATATTTCGCAGTAATTTTTTTTTCGTCATTGTTTAAAAAAGTCGCCAACTTATCTAAACTACTAGGCATAAATCTAAACGAATCTAAAAATTTAAAACATACATTTTTGCCATCTACGTATTTAGTGAACGATATATATTTTTCTTTATTTATGGGTAAAAGTTTTACAGGTCCGTCAAAACGAGTGCACAATTCTTTAATAAAAAAATGTGCATCGTACCCTGATAAATTATGAAAAATTACAGGAATCGAATGAGAATTTTTATAATTAATATTACAACCCTGGTGAGCTGCACCCCTATATTTTCCCGTGAAATGACAGTGATCGCGATGTTTAGTATCATTATCTTCAAATGGATTTTCACAAATATGACAAATTTTTGCAGTTCTAAATTCTAATTCTTGTTGAAAAGATAAAGTTTCCATTGGTACTATTGTTTTTAAATACAAGTCAACTAAATCAGCAATACTTATTAATTTTTCCATAAACCATGAAATGCAATCCTGCCCTCTATAAGTTTCAAACACTGATAGTGAATCATCAAAATCACATTTTAGATAATATGCAACGCTCGTCGGAATATGTTTTCTATACGCCCCAGATATTACTTTATTATCATTAATAGGTTCTAAAAGACTTTCAGTATCGGCATACAGTACAAATGGCACCTTTTCTTTGAATCTGAAATTTTTAAATTTTAAAATATTCTCCTCTTCTGTCGGTAAAATAACCTTACACTTGTTTAAATTCATACAATCAGTTTTATGTTTGAGAAATGAATTTTCATAATTAAAATGACATAAACATCTATCGCATAACCAAGTTCGACCGTTATGTTTTGTAAATTGTGACTTTACCAATCGCGACAAATTGCGAATCCACGCAAAATGATAATTATTACTATTATTATCAATATCGTTTATTTTATCACTTTTATTTATTGCAGAAAAATTTTCTCCTTTATTTATCATTAGTAAGTGAATAGTATCTTTTTTTGAGAAATTATCACTTAAATAAAAAGGAACAATCTCTTCTTTATTTTTACCAACTTTTTCCAAACCATAAATATTTATCTTCAAACTATTCATTTTTTCGAATTTAGACACGTCTTTCAAACTTATAGGAAAATTTATTCCCTCATATTTTAAAACATTCCTAAAATCCGGATAAGAACTAATCAGATTCGCGTTATTTTTTACTGGAAACAAAGCTGCCATTACTGACCAAAGAAAACAGTAATTGTCTGCATTTTTTATATTTACAACAGCATGTTTTTCTATAATAAATTTTGGCAATTTTATATTTTCCGAACAGCCTACTTGAATTGGCGCATGTCTATTTATGTTCACCATTAAATTTAAAATCTCTTTTAATGACCAACCTGACTTGTTTTCATTAAATTCCTCCACTTCTTTTAAAATATATTTATTTACTTCATTAAGAATTGTATCCAAATCTGAGAAGGGAGAAATAACTTCATTTTTCGTATTAAAAGATTTTTTTTCTTCTATATTTTCACCGCTTTCAATAGTTGTAAAATTACCCATTAAAACAAAATTTACTTTTAAACTACTATTTTCTCTAAAGGCTTTTTTTAATCGAGATTTTATTAATGATTTAGACTCTTCTAAAAAGTTGAATAAATCTTTGTGTTTTAAATTAATCACCATTCCTGTTTTAATCCTATTCTCAAAAGCTGATTCTAAATTTTCCCATTTTATTCTTTTTTCCTTTTTTCCTGTGCTACCTCTACCAGTTTTTTGAATTTCTTTAAATCTTTCACTAATTGTTTTTAAAATTCCAACAGTTGTTAAAATTCTTTTTCTTTTACTCACGTTAATCAATTCTTTTTTTGATTTCAAAATTTTATTTAAAAGATTAATATTTTTTACCGCTAATTTCATCCACTTTTCCGATTCAAATAATAATTTTTTTTTACTTTTAATATTTTTCACTATGTCATAAGCATTCTCAATAATTTCAATGAGTTTATAAAAATCTATAGAATCCATTTTTTCCGTTCTTTTTTCGTTAGATTAAAAAATAAATGTTTTTTTGTTTAACAAACACGAGCAACCGAACAAGCACCTTGTTTATACAATACTAAAAATTATTAACAAATGTTCCCTTCCTTTTATACTAATTTTCAAGGTTAAATAAAGGTTAAATAAAAAATTGTTAAAAACAATTCCTGGAAATACAATAATCATTTCCTTTCTCACGATCTGAAAAATGAAATCATACGATGACTAATATTCTAATTAAAAAATATTAGTGTAAAATAATACT